AAAAAATCCCCCTATAACTTTTGACTTCCCCAAACTTAACTAATAGCTTACTGTTGACCAGAAGCCTTCCCGATAACAGTCAACACATATTTTTAAAGTTTTATGTATTATATGCTGTATCCTTACAATAAAATAAGCTAGAAAAAAGAAAATGTTAAGAAAATCATACAGAAAATTCCTTTATAGTACCGCACTGTATTTATTGAAAAAAAATCTGCCTATAAGTGGACCCGTGTAGTTCAAACCTGTTGTTGACCCTTGTTGTTCAAGGGTCAACCGTGTATTTTTTTTTCACATAAGTACATATATACACATTTATCAATGTATATATGTTCTCCTTCCTGTTTTCCCTTAGTGAGAATGTTGATTTCCAACATCATCAATATATTTATCCATTTGCTTAGTCCTGCAATAAATACTGGTTTTTGAAATTGCTACCCTAAAACACTATCATCAACAAACTTACCAAGAATGGTCAAGATTTCTTTGCAGTTCTTTTTGTCTTCTGACCATATCCCACGAAAGATACATAAAGTGTCAAAAGTCACTTGGATTAAGTTTTTTCTTCTCTCTTTGTAGTTATGTTATCAGCATGATATATAGTTAGTTTCATTTCCTTTATTTTTATTTGTTTTCCATTTTAGAGGTTTTTTTAAAGATTTTATTTATTTATTTGTCAGAGAGAGGGAGAGCACAAGCAGGAGGGGCAGCAGACAGAGGGAGAGGGAGAAGCAGGGTCCTCACTGAGCAGGGAGCCCGATGTGGGACTCGATCTCAGGACCCTGGGATCATGACCTGAGCCAAAGGCAGACACTTGACTAAGCCACCCAGGTGTCCCTGAGTTTTTTGTTTTTGATCTCACTTTATCTTTTGAATATGTAAAACATAATGTGGTTTAAAGTCAAACTGTAGGGGTGCCTGGGTGGCTCAGTCATTAAGCGTCTGCCTTCAGCTCAGGTCGTGATCCCAGGGTCCTGGGATCGAGCCCCGCATCGGGCTCCCTGCTCGGCAGGAAGCCTGCTTCTCCCTCTTCCACTCCCCCTGCTTGTGTTCCCTCTCTCACTGTGTCTCTCTCTATCAAATAAATAAATAAAATCTTTAAAAAAATAAAAAATAAAAGTAAATAAAGTCAAACTGTATAAAAAGGAGATGTCCCATCCCCTTCACTCTTCCTTCCTCCTGTCTCCACTCATCCCTGCAGGTAGACAATTTCATTAGTTACTAACATGCCTTTCTGTGGTTCTTTTTGCAAAAAAAGTATATTTGTATGTACTTTGCAATTTTTTTCTTATACAAGAGGCCCTGTGCTATGTATATTCTTTTGTACTTTAATGAGATATCCTGAAAATAACTCCACTTGGGTTTATAAAACCCTTCCTCATTATTTTTTACATTTGTGTGCAAATTGTACATGTGCAAGAATTATTTGGGCAGTCTCTGATGTAGGACATTTGGTTGTTTCCAATATTTTGCTATTACCAATAATGATGCAATGAATATGCATGTATTTTTGTAATGTAGAAGTGTATCTTTGGGGTAAATTCCTCGAAGAATGAGAGCTGGGTCAAAGGATAAATACATATGTAATTTTGTTAGATACTGCAACATTTCCCTTCATAGGGATTGTCCCATTTTGCTTCTTTTTTTTTTTTTAAAGATTATTTATTTACTTATTTGACAGAGAGAGACACAGTGAGAGAGGGAACACAAGCAGTGGGAGTGGGAGAGGGAAAAGCAGGCTTCCTGTGGAGCAGGGAGCCCCATGCGGGGCTCGATCCCAGGACCCTGGGATCACGACCTGAGTCGAAGGCAGATGCTTGATGACTGAGCCACCTAGGCGCGCCTTCCCTATAGCCTCTTTAAGAGCATTCTCAAGCTTTTGAATTTTTGCCAGTCTGATAGATGAGAAATTCTACTTCTGTGTGGTTTTCATTTGTATTTTACTTATTATGTGTTTAGTTGAGCATCTTTTCACATGCTTAAGGGTCTTTAGTAAATCTTTTTCTTTGTGAATTGTGTGTTCATGTAAATACATGAAATATGCTCATTTTCTAATTGTATTGGGGTCTGTATGATCCCTTGATTTTTAGTACTTTATTTTTATTTAAAGATATTATTTATTTGAGAGAGAGAGAACACAAGCAGGGGGAGCGACATGCAGAGGGAGAGGGAGAAGCAGGCTCCCTGCTGAACAGAGAGCCCGATGCGGGCTCGATCCCAGGACTCTGGGATCATGACCTGAGCCAAAGGCAGGCACTTAACTGACTGAGCCACCCAGGTGCCCCTGATTTTTAGCACTTTAAAATCAGAGGCATTAGTCCTTTCTTTCTGATATATATTGTAAATATTTCATTTGGGTTTTAACCATGCAAATGTCTTTGTTTTAATTTTTCTGGGGTAGAACTTATTTATTTTATTTTATTTATTTTTATTTATTTTTTAAAGATTTTATTTATTTATTTGAGAGAGAGAGAATGAGAGATAGCACGAGAGGAAAGAGGGTCAGAGGGAGAAGCAGACTCCCTGCTGAGCAGGGAGCCCGATGTGGGACTCTATCCCGGGACTCCAGGATCATGACCTGAGCCGAAGGCAGTCGCTTAACCAACTGAGCCACCCAGGCACCCTCTGGGGTAGAACTTATTAATCCATTTTTTGTTGAATCTGGACCTTGAGGCACAGAAAGCTCTCTGCTACTCCCAGGTTGTAAAGGAACTCCACCTGTGTTTTCTTCTAGTAAAAATGGTTTCTTTTTTCTTTCTTTTTTAAAAAACACTTAGACCTGCAATTCATTAATTGATTCTTGTGTTTGGGTTAAGGTATGAACCCAATTTTATGTTTTTCTAAGCCACTATCTCTCTCCAAATATATAATATATATATAATTTATTTATTTGAGAGAGAGTGAGCGAGAGATAGAGAAGGAGCGGGGGGGGGGGCAGAAGCAGGCTCCCCATTGAGCAGGGAGCCCCACATGGGGCTCCATCCCTGGACCCTGAGATCATGACCAGAGCCAAAGGCAAACATTAACCGACTGAGCCACCCAGATGCTCCATCTCAATATATATTTTAAATTCATCTTTTCCTGAGTGATTTGAGATGCTACTTCTATCAGATATTTAGTTCCCATGTGCACTGGTTTATTTATGGACTTTCTGTTCTGTTCTACCAGTCTGTCTATTGATATGATGATGCCATACAGTTTAAATATAGAGGCTTATTGTGTTCTTAATATCTGAAAGGTTAGTGTTTCTCTCACTCTTTTTTTTTTTAAAGATTTTATTTATTTATTTGACAGACAGATAGTGAGAGCAGGAACACAAGCAGGGGGAGTGGGAGAGGAAGAAGCAGGCTTCCCGCCGAGCACGGAGCCCAGTGCGGGGCTCGATCCCAGGACCCTGGGACCATGACCTGAGCCGAAGGCAGACGCTTAACGACTGAGCCACCCAGGTGCCCCTCTCGCTCTTCTTTTTAAGGATTTTTCTAGGTACATTTGCTGCCTTTTTTCTATATGTACTTTAAAATGAATGTGTCTGGATTCAAATTATGTACACTTTAATATATTTTTGTGTTAATGATAGCTCATGGTATACATGGTAATATAATGGTCAGGGACATAAGTGATATAACCCAGAGTTGATTGATCTCTTTCCCACAGGGCAGTCTGTGTACTGCACACGAGCTAGCTCCATTCTGATTGGTCAGATTTCTGCGTGTGCGCTCTTTTTTTTTTTTTTTTTTACAAAAGCCACAGTATCTTCCCCCCCCCCGTTCTTATTTAAATTCCCGTTAGTTAACACACAGTGTAATGTTATTTTCAGGTGTACGATATAGTGATTCAACACTTCCATACAACACCCGGTGCTCATCACAACAGGTGCACTCCTTAATCCCCATCACCTGCTTCACCCATCCCCCACCCACCTACCTTCCCTCTGGTAACCATTGTTCTCTATAGTTAAGAGTCTGTTTCTTGGCTTGCCTCTCTCTCTTTTCCCCCCTTTGTTTTGTTTCTTAAATTCCACATATGAGTGAAATCATATGGTATTTGTCTTTCCCTGACTGACTTTCACTTAGCATTAATAATCTCTAGCTCCATCCACATCACTGCAAATATTCTTATACAGTACTCATGTCCTTGTCAATCACTTGTTAAGTATTTCCAGTATACCCTCTGCAAAGGGTGTGTGTGACCTGCTATTTCTAGGATGCCAGAATAGGGGGGTAGAAGTAGTGGTAGCTTATTTCCTAGCCAGGCTAGGACCCGGTAATTAATCCTCTCAATTCCTTTTCTGGACTCCGGTTATAGTAATAGATGCAAAGTGCAGTAATGGACGTTATAAGTGCAAGAGATGAGGGCCAAGGACAGGTGGTGTTTATACTCACAGTATTATGTGTTTGTAGTGTTTTAGTTTTCAGTGTGCTTTCCCATACATTATCTTACTCACCTAGGAGATGATTGTGGCCAAGTAGGAAATGCCTTCATCACAAATCAGAAGACCTGGATTTAGGTCCTGATTCTACATGTCACTATTATATAAGCTTATTCAAGTTACTTCTTTTTATTTTTTAAGATTTATTTATTTATTTGAGAGCGAAAGAGAGACTACAAGTGGTGGGAGGGGCAGAGGGAGAAGGAGAGAAAGAATCTCCAGCAAACTCCCAATGCAGCGCTCGATCTCATGACCCTGAGATCATGACCTGAGCTGAAATCAAGAGTCGGACGCTTAACTGACTGAGCCACCCAGGTGCCCCTCACGTTACCTTACTTTTGACCTCTAGTTTCCACATATGTAGAAATGGAGATAAAAAATCCTATTTCGTTGGGTTGGTATAGGTGTTAAATTGAATTAATTTTCAACAAATGTGTATTGATCAGTAACCATGTATCAGCCATTATCAAAAAGATTGGCGCTCTGGAGCAGAATAAGACACCATCTCTGCTCTCAAGGAGCCTTTGGTTTAGTGGAATGAATCCCAGGATCTTCACTCCTCCCCTGTCAGGTACCTGGGGAGCAAAAGCAAAGTTCTGACGAGCGCAAAACCGTTCTGCGCAAGAACTCAGAGAAGGTATCTGTGTACTGGGTGGTCAAAACCACAAATGTGTGACACCACCAAGTTTGCCTGGGACAGTCCTGGTTTACAACTACTGTCCTGACATCTAAACTCTGGGCTGGTCAAACAAATTACGTCTGTATTTTGGTCCCTGGTTTTTGATCCCTGGATTCCTGTCTGACAATAGGGCCCTATTCACCCTGTTGCTCTACCATCCTCTAATTTCCCATACCCTCGTGTGTGTGCCCTGTTTAGAAGTTCCAGCATGAGCTAAGCACCAAGTGGGTGCTGAATACCGTGAGTACAGGGGCCCATGTGCTTCTTGGGAAGATCCTCCAAAACCACATGTTGGACTTCTGCATTCGCAACTCCAAGCTCTTCTGGCGGGCGCTGGCCATGCTGTAGGTAGGTCGTGATGGGATGTGGCTGGGTGGGGCCTGGCCCCCTGCCTAGGCTGCCACAGAGATATGGACACGTGTGGGGCCAAGGGCTGACTTTTCTCCTGCGCTGCCTCCTCCTCCTCCCATCAGGCTCATCCTCCACTCTGGGGAATGTATGTGCATGCTTGGGTGCATGACTGTGAGATGATAACTATCAGACAAGATTCTTTCAGTTACAAGTATGTGACAGACCTCTAATTCATACTGGTTTAAGCTAAACAAGCCAAATGACTTGTTCACGCAACTGGAGTTCCAGGGTAGCTCGATCCAGATACTCAAAACAATGTGCTCCAGATTGTCATACCTTAACTTTCCTCTGTGTTGCTCTCCTTCTCAGGCAGCTTTTCTCCAGTAGGTGGCAAACTGGCCCCCGGCAGTGCCAGCCTAGCATCCTACCAATTTAGCAACCTGAGTGGAAGAAGAGTTTATCTGTGCCTGTGATTCCTACGAATGCCTGGGAGGAAGGGCTCTCGCTGGCTTGTCTTGGGTCACATGCCATCCCTGAGCCAGTCACTGTTCTCCAGGGGAAAGCAGCCCTCTGCCCAGGCCTGGCTCATGTGCTCTCCCTATGGGATGGCACTGGAGGAAAGGGTGGGAAGTGAGCCTCAGTCAAACGGCCTGGCCTGAGAATGGAGGCACCATAGTTCCCTGGAGGAAGATCAAGGTGCTGGTACTAGAAGGGGGAGGAATGGCTGCCGAACAGATAGCACAATAGCTGGTCAGGAAAGGAGGGTTGCTAGGTTTAGCAAATAAAAATACAGGACAAATTGGAATTTCAGATAAATAAAGGATTTTTTTTTAGTGTAAGTATGTCCCATGCAATATTTGAAGCATCCTTATACTATTTTTTTTCATTATTCATTTGAAATTCCTATTCCTGGGTATCCTGTATTTTTATTTGCAAAATCTGACAACCCTGTGTAAAGGGAATCAATCAATGAGCATTTAGTGAGCACCCACCAAGTCCCTAAAACCTTCTTAAATGAATAGAACCAACCAACCAGGAAAAGAAAAGTGCTTCATGCTCTTTTAGATCCTGGGGTTGGGTTGGGTAGGGGGAATTGGAGATATGTCTGATCCAGGACTTGCCATCGTAGAGTGGCCCATCTAAGGATTCCATGGAAGATTGAAAGCCAGACCAGAATTGGGGCTTGCCAAATGTAGCTAGACCCAGTCCATCCAAAAGGGCAGTCACCACCCACATGTGGCTACTGAGCACTTGAAATGAGGCCAGTGTGTCTGAGGAGCTGAACTTTAAGTTTTGTTTAAAAACTGAAGCAGTGTAATTTTTTTCATTAAATGCAACTTTATTGTTTTGGTAGAACTACATTTTACATTTACATCGAAATTCAGTACCTGAACTGAGATGTGCTGGGATTATAAACTAGACCCTAGATTTCAAAGACATGATACAAAAATATTGTAGAATATCCTCCTAATCATTTGTAATATTGCTTAGATATTGAAATAATATTTTAGATATATATATCGGATTAGATAAAACATGATTAAAATCTATTTTCTTATTTGTTTCTTTTGCATTCCATGTGTTTCTTTTTTAATGCAGTACTAGAAGATCTTAAATTACATATGTGGTTCACATTATATTTATCTTGGGCAGTGCTGAGCTAGTGGGGGGGGCAGGTGACAAAAAGGAGCAGCTTTTGCAGATGAGCAGTCTTGGCAGGATGTAAAGGAGGGACAGGGTTAAGGAGGAAACTGGAAGGAGTGAGTTCAGTTTCAGGTTACCAACCTATTGGGTTGGTGGTACACGGCTGGAAGTGTGACCAAGTTGTCATTAATCCTCCAGTTTAACCTGGCCCATCAAAGCCCACCGCTAACCCTTTTTCTTCACACCTGGGGATTGTGAGTTTGGGATCGCCTATAGGGACCACTTCTCCACAGCCTCTCTGGCCAGTCTTTAGGATCCCAGGTGCCTGCCTCCCACTCTCCCACTCCTTTTTCCTCCTCGACTTCATTTTCTGCTCCCCTGGCCTTCTAGCCCGACACTGACCTTCCCGCTTCTTCTACAGCGGTTCTCTGGACAGCCCAAGGCTCGATGCATCGAGACCCTCCTCCAGGTGATCCACTTCCCCCAAGCCACTGTCGGATGACATTCGGACTGCTCCCATCTCCTTCCACATCCAGGTTGCACACAAGAAGGAGCAGGTATCCTGCCGGCAGCTAACATTTACTGAGTCCTTTCAGCATATCAGGAATTTTGCTTGGTACTGGGTTTACAAAGTTAGTGACGTTCTGCCAAGGAGCTCCCTGTTTCTTGGGGAATTGTGATTGTGACAAGGAGGCACAGAGGTGTGGAAAAGCTGTTGCGGGGTGCAGAAATGGGGTCTGTTTAGGAGGGGAGCCAGGAAAGAGAGGGAGTGGGGCCTTTGAACTGGGTCTTAGAGAATGAATAGGAGTTTTCTGGGTCTGGGTGAAAGCTTCTTTCTGTTCTTAACCCACCTCACTACAATTTCTGGTCTTGATAACTCTCTTCTACTCTTGCATCCAACCTAGTGGCTTCTGACTCCCACACTGAATGCTCTGGCTCTTCCAGGGCTCTTGCCCAGATGGCCTCACTCTCTCAGGCTTCAGTTCTCCCTGCCTCTTCCCCACAGGTGATCCCCATAGGCTTGCTGAGCCTCCTATTCCCGTGCTCCATCCCTGAGGCGCAGGCGCAACTGGCGGCTGCTCTGTCTGTCTGTGAGGCTGTCAGGAGCGCCCTCACTGGGCCAGGTCGGAAGCGCGGTGCGGACCCCCTGGAAACCCTAGAGCCTGCCCTGCCCTGCACTGGTGTTTCTGGGCGCGAAGCCCACGGAGGCGTGTTGGGCTAGCGGCACATGTGTGGGAGGAGAGGCGTAGTCCCCAGGGCCACCCGCAGCCCAGGGTGAGGAAAAAGAGTCTCTCTACTTGGGGGAATTCTTGCTCTTGACCCAGTGGTCTTCACTTTCACCGGCATATTCTGATTTCAGAAATAAAACAAAATGCCTTGTTTTGGAAAGTTAACCTTCCAAACTCAGTAGATCAGAGTCAATAAATTAGAGGTGGGACCAGATGGGTGGCATGGGTTGGTCCCAACAACAGGTTTGTTTCTTCACTTCCCTCCCATACCCCTCAAACGCATTTCATTGGGCACTGATCCAGACCTTATTCTAGCATCTCTGTATCCCTCATCTCCAACATGTGGGTTCGTGAGTGCACGCACCTGCACATACACTCCCCTCCTGCTCGGAATCACAAAGCAAGGGGAGGTGGGAACCTAGATGATTCCAGAGGAAGAGGGGAAAAGTCGTGTCCCCAACACAGGACACCCAGAAAAAGGATGCCAAGTAGGCAGGACAGCAGGTTCCTTATCACTAGATTGAAAGCTACATCCACAGAGTAGACTCTGAAGTGGGGGTTGCTTCCCCTGCCCAAGTTTGTAAGGGAAACAGAAGGAACTCTGGGGGTGCTGAACAGCCTTTGCTGGGGGGGATGTGATAAACACTAGAAATCCCAGTTTGTCCATTTTAGACCTCAGCTTCGACTGTTTTGATGTATCAAAGGCAAACCTTGCCCATCCCAGACCCATCCCAGCTCTTCAATGCCTAGGACGTAGGATTCTGATAATAGAGAGCTGGCTCCCCCTTGTGCCGGAGAAGTACACAGGTAAAAACCTCAAAAGCTCACTGGAACCTTCAGGCAGTAGGGTGAACACTAAGGAGCCAGATTTTGGTTTCATGAGGATAGAGTCACCAACCTTGTAAAGGCAGCTGTAAGCGCCCTCGAAATGTCTGTGGGTCTCCAGCCTCTATCAGAGTGCTCTTTGAACTCCGAGTACATTAGACCCGAGATCCTTAACCAGGCCCACTTTCTTCAGTCACCACTCCCCCGACTTTTCAGTGTCATCCCTTTGGTTTTCATCCTCCACAAACACCTCTTCCTAACTCAACAGCTCAAGATGGGTAAAGTGAGGAAAGATTCCTGCAAAAGCTCCCTGCTTCTCTTTACCAGAACTTTCCCACTTGTTTTCATTGGGTAAATTCTTCTCTCTTCTTGGCATCAAGAGCAGGGTCAAGTCAGAGAAGATACCCAGCTCTCTAGCACTGGAGAGGGCAAAGTACCCCCTTGATCCTGTTGGTGATACCAGCCTGTGCACTCCCACATGTGGAATGGATATGGTGCACGGTCAGATTTCCCCAAGGCTGGATAAAGGAGGACTCTAGAAGTCCAGAGGGTGTTTTGTTTTGTTTTGTTGCCAAGTACTTGGCTGGTGCAATGATATCAAGTCAATTCAACTCTTGTTCAGTTGTGTATGATGTTCACGTGTAATGAACTAGGTGGAGAAGCAGCTGGATACATTCTGGCATTATGGAGGAGATAAAGATGGCTAAGGTCTGATCCCCACCCTCTAGGAATTCACAAGCACATACAAACAATTCCAATACAAGACAGAGAGAATTGAAATGGATTAGAACAGCAGGCTAGGTACAGGGAGCTGCGGGAATTATTTGGGGGGAGATTACAGGGTAGGCCAAGAATCAAGGAAAATTTTGGAAGAAAGGAGGTTGGGGTGGGGTGAGGGAACATCCAAAGAAAACCTGGGAATGTTTGGATACTTATATTTATGTGTGGTTCCAACAACAGAGAGTTAAGTCATTGTCAATGGAACCTGACCTCTAGGTTGAGCTAAAAAGGTTCAAAGACTTTTTAGAATTATCCAGACACAAATGGTAGGGTGACAACATTTAACGTTATTTTGGAGAAAGCAAACTTCTGAGGGTAAGAAAGCTGTAATCTATTATCAACACAAGGCAGTAATTCTGCTGAAATGATGAAAGGATCTATCCCAGAAGACTGGATTGGATTATGGAAGGTGAAGGAAGCAATTTCCTGCTACACTCATTTGCTCAATCAAAAATAAGAGGTGAAGGGTGGAAGATATTCAGATATTGCATATACTTCAAACTTAATGTATTAAAAACCGGAACCCAGGATCTCTCCTCCAAATCAGCTGTTCTTTTTATAACTTAGGTGGTCTTAAATATTAGACAAGCTGGGGCCAGGCACCTGGGACAGTAAGACTGAAGGAAGATGTTGGGACCAGGTAGGAGATTAAAGGGCCCCAATCTGGCTCCAGGGATGGGCCTTAAAGCAGAGCAAAATGTCTAAGATCCAATCCAGATTCAGCTATGGTTTGGACAGGTGGGTCAAATCCTAGGCACTGAATTTAGGTGGTGTGAAATGCTTCCATCCTGGAAAAGAGAAGATTTGGGCTTACCTATAAGCTAGTGGCCGGGGTGCTCTGACATGGGAGGAAGAGACAGGAAGGGGAGCCAGGAACATCTTGTAATGCCAGGAAGTAAAGAAGCGCCCATAAAAACGAAAGGATCGGGTCATAGCAAAGGGACAAGAGTCAACCCGAGAGAGCTCCCAATGGCCAAAGTTGGAAAAACGTGAGCAACAAAATAATGTTGTATTGGACTATAACACAGAGTACTAGATAAGTACGCATGAGTTCATGCTGATATAACAAAGTAATGGAATAAATAAATAGGAGCTACACAAGAATTCCAAATAATATATGTAGATATAGCCCACTCCAAGAGATGGAGCTTAACAACCCCTCACTTCTTCCAACCCCAACATAGGCTACACTTAGGGGCTTGCTTCCAAAGAACAGAGTATGGAAAGAGAAAAATAATGGCTTCACCGTGGAGAAACCTGGCTACCTTAGCCAAGTAATGAAGATTGGCAACACAGGCTGCTATCATGTACTGCGTGAGATCAGTAATGAGAAGCGCAGAGCGCCTCTGTGGTATTTTCCCCAAAACACATAACCTCAGTCTAAGCATACGGAAAACAGAGAAACCCAAATTTAAGAACCTGCCAGTACTCCTAAAAACTGTCAGGGTCAGAGAAACTCTCACAGACCAGAGGAGACTAAGGAGGCATGACAACCAAATCCAACATGGGCCCTAGGTTGGATCCTGGACAGAAAAAGGACGTTAGTGGAAAAACTAGTGAAATCTATGAAGTTTGGCATTCAGTTCAAAGTAAATGTACCAGGGCACCTGGGTGGCTCAGTCATTAAGCGTCTGCCTTCGGCTCAAGTCATGATCCCGGGGTCCTGGGATCGAGCCCCGCATCCGGCTCCCTGCTCAGCGGGAAGCCTGCTTCTTCCTCTCCCACTCCCCCTGCTTGTGCTCCCTCTCTCGCTGTATCTCTCTCTGTCAAATAAATAAATAAAATCTTTAAAAAACAAAAACAAACAAACAAACAAAGTAAATGTACCAATGTTAATCACATAGATTTGACACATGAATCAAAGTTATATAAGATGTTAACATTGGGTGAAACTGGATGAAGGGCATATGGGAACTCACTGTGCTATCTTTGCAACTTTTCTGTAAGTCTAAAATTATTCCCAAATAGAATTTATTAAGAAAATAAATTCCTGGGCGCCTGGGTGGCTCAGTTGGTTAAGTGACTGCCTTCGGCTCAGGTCATGATCCTGGAGTCCCGGGATCGAGTCCCACATCGGGCTCCCTGCTCAGCAGGGAGTCTGCTTCTCCCTCTGACCCTCTTCCCTCTCGTGCTCTCTATCTCTCATTCTCTCTCTCTCAAATAAATAAATAAAATCTTAAAAAAAAAAGAAAAAAGAAAATAAATTCCTGGGACACCTGGGTGGCTTAGTCAGTTGAGTGTCTGCCTTCGGCTCTGGTCGTGGTCCCAGGGTCCTTGCTCTGGGGGGAGTCTGCTTCTCTCTCTCTGCCTGCCATTCCCCCTGCTGGTGCTCTCTCTCTTCCTCTCTGCCTCCCTCTTTCTCTCTGACAAATGAATAAATAAAATCTTAAAAAAAAAAAAGAAAAGAAAATTCCTGACTATAGTAACCTATATGTGGGAAGGGGCATATATAATTAAAATATTCTGAGGGCCTTGATTTATCATCAGTAAGAGGATAGAGGTTTTATTTAAGAATTTGATAGGTTAAATGTGTATTTTGCATTTTAAAGGGCATCCACTAAAAATGGGGTTGGCTAGATAGTAAATATGTTAGCCATTGTAAACCCCCTATGGTTTTTGCTGTAACTACCTACTGTTGTAGCATGAAAGCAGAGACAATATGTAAAATGAGTGTAGCTGTGTTCCAATAAATCTTTATTTACAAAAACAGGCATCAGGCTAGTTTGACCCACAGGCCATAATTTGTCAACCTTGCACTAAAAGAACAAAAACAGAATTTAACTTCCAATTATTAAAGGACAAGATGGAGTGATTAATTAAAAATAGCTATTTAAAAGGCAAGAAATGAGAGAAAAAGAAATATAAAACAGGATGAAATAGAAAGTGCCAAGTAAAAAGGTAATTTTGATCTTAATGCTTTAATAACTACATTAAATATAATGGAACGTGTAATGGAACTGGAAATGGAGCACATGCTGATTGGGGTGGGAGAATCTGTGTTGTGTGAATGGAGGTCTCAGTTCTTGGATTCCCCACGAAAGATTTCCATGAGGATCCATACTCTAATAAAGACAGCTGGGGTTGCAGGGGGGATGGACTAGCTGGGGGATGGGCATTAAGGAGGGCACATGATATAACGAGCACTGGGTGTTATATGTAATTGATGAATCACTAAACTCTACCCTGAAACTAATAATACACTATATGTTAACTAACTTGAGTTTAAATTGAAAAAAAAAAAGAGAAGAAAGTAGCAAGCCCAAAGCAGTTTATTGAGGACAGTACACTCTCAAGGTGGGAGAGCAGGAAGGCCCAGAGGTGGCAACTGCCCTGAGGTTACAAGAATCTTTGTGTGTGAGGGGGTGGGAGGGTGTCTTGGGTCGTGGAT